AGTAGTAGAGTAGAGTAGTAGATGTAGAGTAGTGTAGATGTAGAGTAGTGTAGAGTAGAGTAGATGTAGAGTAGAGTAGAGTAGAGTAGATGTAGAGTAGATGTAGAGTAGAGTAGATGTAGAGTAGTGTAGAGTAGAGTAGAGTAGATGTAGAGTACAGTAGATGTAGAGTAGAGTAGAGTAGAGTAGAGTAGAGTAGAGTAGAGTAGAGTAGATGTAGAGTAGTAGTAGAGTAGAGTAGAGTAGAGTAGAGTAGAGTAGAGTAGAGTAGAGTAGAGTAGAGTAGAGTAGAGTAGAGTAGAGTAGAGTAGAGTAGAGTAGATGTAGATGTAGAGTAGCGTAGATGTAGAGTAGACTAGAGTAGATGTAGAGTAGAGTAGATGTAGAGTAGATGTAGAGTAGAGTAGAGTAGATGTAGAGTAGATGTAGAGTAGCGTAGATGTAGAGTAGAGTAGAGGTAGAGTAGATGTAGAGTAGAGTAGAGTAGATGTAGAGTAGATGTAGAGTAGAGTAGAGTAGATGTAGAGTAGATTAGAGTAGATGTAGAGTAGATGTAGAGTAGAGTAGATGTAGAGTAAAGTAGAGTAGATGTAGACTAGATGTAGAGTAGTGTAGAGTAGATGTAGAGTAGAGTAGATGTAGAGTAGACTAGATGTAGATGTAGAGTAGATGTAGAGTAGAGGTAGAGTAGAGTAGAGGTAGATGTAGAGTAGAGTAGAGTAGATGTAGAGTAGAGGTAGAGTAGAGGTAGATGTAGAGTAGAGTAGAGTAGATGTAGAGTAGAGTAGATGTAGGACTAGAGTAGATGTAGGAGTAGACTAGAGTAGAGTAGAGTATAGTAGAGTAGAGTAGATGTAGACTAGATGTAGAGTAGAGTAGATGTAGAGTAGAGTAGAGTAGATGTAGAGTAGAGTAGATGTAGGACTAGAGTAGATGTAGGAGTAGACTAGAGTAGAGTAGAGTAGAGTAGAGTAGAGTAGATGTAGAGTAGATGTAGAGTAGACTAGATGTAGAGTAAAGTAGAGTAGATGTAGACTAGATGTAGAGTAGATGTAGACTAGATGTAGAGTAGAGTAGATGTAGAGTAGACTAGATGTAGAGTAGACTAGATGTAGAGTAGAGTAGATGTAGAGTAGACTAGATGTAGAGTAGAGTAGAGTAGATGTAAAGTAGAGCAGAGTAGAGTAGAGTAGAGGTAGATGTAAAGTAGAGTAGAGTAGAGTAGAGTAGAGTAGAGTAGAGTAGATGTAGAGTAGATGTAGAGTAGAGTAGAGTAGAGTAGAGTAGATGTAGAGTACAGTAGATGTAGAGTAGAGTAGAGTAGATGTAGAGTAGAGTAGAGTAGAGTAGAGTAGATGTAGAGTAGATGTAGAGTAGAGTAGAGTAGAGTAGAGTAGAGTAGATGTAGAGTAGAGTAGATGTAGAGTAAAGTAGAGTAGATGTAGACTAGATGTAGAGTAGATGTAGACTAGATGTAGAGTAGAGTAGATGTAGAGTAGACTAGATGTAGAGTAGACTAGATGTAGAGTAGAGTAGATGTAGAGTAGACTAGCTGTACAGTAGAGTAGAGTAGATGTAAAGTAGAGCAGAGTAGAGTAGAGTAGAGTAGAGGTAGATGTAGAGTAGATGTACAGTAAAGTAGAGTAGAGTAGAGTAGAGTAGAGGTAGAGTAGATGTAGAGTAGAGTAGAGTAGAGTAGAGTAGAGTGATGTAGAGTAGAGTAGATGTAGAGTACAGTAGATGTAGAGTACAGTAGATGTAGAGTAGAGTAGATGTAGAGTAGAGTAGAGTAGAGTAGATGTAGAGTAGATGTAGATGTAGAGTAGAGTAGATGTAGAGTAGAGTAGAGTAGAGTAGATGTAGAGTAGAGTAAAGTAGATGTAGAGTAGATGTAGATGTAGAGTAGAGTAGATGTAGAGTAGAGTAGAGTAGAGTAGAGTAGAGTAGATGTACAGTAGAGTAGAGTAGAGTAGAGTAGAGTAGAGTAGAGTAGAGGTAGAGTAGATGTAGAGTAGAGTAGAGTAGAGTAGAGTAGAGTAGATGTAGAGTAGTGTAGATGTAGAGTAGTGTAGAGTAGAGTAGATGTAGAGTAGAGTAGATGTAGATGTAGAGTAGATGTAGAGTAGAGTAGAGTAGAGTAGATGTAGAGTACAGTAGATGTAGAGTAGAGTAGAGTAGAGTAGAGTAGAGTAGAGTAGAGTAGAGTAGAGTAGAGTAGAGTAGAGTAGAGTAGAGTAGAGTAGAGTAGAGTAGATGTAGAGTAGAGTAGAGTAGAGTAGAGTAGAGTAGAGTAGATGTAGAGTAGAGTAGAGTAGAGTAGAGTAGAGTAGAGTAGAGTAGAGTAGAGTAGAGTAGAGTAGAGTAGAGTAGAGTAGAGTAGAGTAGATGTAGAGTAGAGGTAGATGTAGAGTAGAGGTAGATGTAAAGTAGAGTAGAGTAGAGTAGAGTAGAGGTAGATGTAAAGTAGAGTAGAGGTACATGTAGAGTAGAGTAGAGTAGAGTAGAGTAGATGTAGAGTAGAGTAGATGTAGAGTATATCAGATGTAGAGTAGAGTAGAGTAGAGTAGAGTAGAGTAGAGTAGAGTAGATGTAGAGTAGAGTAGAGTAGAGTAGAGTAGAGTAGAGTAGATGTAGAGTAGAGTAGAGTAGATGTAGAGTAGATGTAGAGTAGAGTAGAGTAGAGTAGATGTAGAGTAGCGTAGAGTAGAGTAGAGTAGAGTAGAGTAGAGTAGATGTAGAGTAGAGTAAAGTAGATGTAGAGTAGAGTAGATGTAGAGTAGATGTAGAGTAGAGTAGATGTAGAGTAGAGTAGAGTAGAGTAGAGTAGAGTAGATGCACAGTAGAGTAGAGTAGAGTAGAGTAGATGTAGAGTAGAGTAGAGTAGAGTAGAGTAGAGTAGAGGTAGAGTAGATGTAGAGTAGAGTAGAGTAGAGTAGAGTAGATGTAGAGTAGTGTAGAGTAGAGTAGAGTAGAGTAGAGTAGAGTAGATGTAGAGTAGAGGTAGATGTAGAGTAGAGGTAGATGTAAAGTAGAGTAGAGTAGATGTAAAGTAGAGCAGAGTAGAGTAGAGTAGAGGTAGATGTAGAGTAGAGTAGAGGTACATGTAGAGTAGAGTAGAGTAGATTAGAGTAGAGTAGAGTAGATGTAGAGTATATCAGATGTAGAGTAGAGTAGATGTAGAGTAGAGTAGATGTAGAGTAGATGTAGAGTAGAGTAGAGTAGATGTAGAGTATAGTAGAGTATATCAGATGTAGAGTAGAGTAGAGTAGAGTAGAGTAGATGTAGAGTAGATTAGAGTAGAGTAGAGTAGATGTAGAGTATATCAGATGTAGAGTAGAGTAGATGTAGAGTAGAGTAGATGTAGAGTAGATGTAGAGTAGATGTAGAGTAGAGTAGAGTAGATGTAGAGTAGAGTAGAGTAGATGTAGAGTAGAGTAGAGTAGATGTAGAGTAGAGTATATGTAGAGTAGAGTAGATGTAGAGTAGAGTAGAGTAGAGTAGATGTAGAGTAGAGTAGAGTAGAGTAGATGCAGAGTAGATGTAGAGTAGAGTTGATGTAGAGTAGATGTAGATGTAGAGTAGATGTAGAGTAGATGTAGAGTAGAGTAGATGTAGAGTAGATGTAGATTAGATGTAGAGTAGAGTAGATGTAGAGTACAGTAGAGTAGAGTAGAGTAGAGTAGATGTAGAGTAGAGTAGATGTAGAGTAGATGTAGAGTATATTAGATGTAGAGTAGATGTAGAGTAGAGTAGATGTAGAGTATATTAGATGTAGAGTAGAGTAGAGTAGAGTAGATGTAGGGTATAGTAGAGTATATCAGATGTAGAGTAGATGTAGAGTAGAGTAGAGTAGAGTAGAGTAGATGTAGAGTAGAGTAGAGTAGAGTAGAGTAGAGTAGATGTAGAGTAGAGTAGAGTAGAGTAGAGTAGAGTGATGTAGAGTAGATGTAGAGTAGAGTAGAGTAGAGTAGAGTAGAGGTAGATGTAAAGTAGAGTAGAGTAGAGGTAGATGTAAAGTAGAGTAGAGTAGAGTAGAGTAGAGTAGATGTAGAGTAGAGTAGAGTAGAGTAGATGTAGAGTAGATGTAGAGTAGAGTAGAGTAGATGTAGAGTAGAGTAGAGTAGAGTAGGGTAGAGTAGATGTAGAGTAGATGTAGAGTAGAGTAGATGTAGAGTATAGTAGAGTATATCAGATGTAGAGTAGAGTAGATGTAGAGTAGAGTAGATGTAGAGTAGAGTAGAGGTAGAGTAGAGTAGATGTAGAGTATAGTAGAGTATATCAGATGTAGAGTAGAGTAGAGTAGATGTAGAGTAGAGTAGATGTAGAGCAGAGTAGATGTAGAGTAGAGTAGAGTAGAGTAGAGTAGATGTAGAGTAGAGTAGATGTAGAGTAGAGTAGATGTAGAGTAGAGTAGAGTAGAGTAGAGTAGATGTAGAGTAGAGTAGAGTAGAGTAGATTCAGAGTAGATGTAGAGTAGAGTAGATGTAGAGTAGATGTAGATGTAGAGTAGAGTAGATGTAGAGTAGATGTAGATGTAGAGTAGATGTAGAGTAGATGTAGAGTAGAGTAGATGTAGAGTAGATGTAGAGTATATTAGATGTAGAGTAGAGTAGATGTAGAGTATATTAGATGTAGAGTAGAGTAGAGTAGAGTAGAGTAGATGTAGAGTAGATGTAGAGTAGAGTAGATGTAGAGTAGAGTAGAGTAGATGTAGATGTAGAGTAGATGTAGAGTATAGTAGAGTATATTAGATGTAGAGTAGAGTAGATGTAGATGTAGAGTAGAGTAGAGTAGATGTAGAGTAGATGTAGAGTAGAGTAGAGTAGATGTAGAGTAGAGTAGATGTAGAGTAGAGTAGATGTAGAGTAGATGTAGAGTAGAGTAGATGTAGAGTAAATGTAGATTAGAGTAGAGTAGAGTAGAGTAGATGTAGAGTAGATGTAGAGTAGAGTAGAGTAGATGTAGAGTAGATGTAGAGTAGAGTAGAGTAGAGTAGTCACCAGCATCCTGGAGTGTGAAGCCGCGATGACTCTTCCTTTCCCGTAGTAAGCTCCGGCCAGAAACACCGCCCCCTCCTGGTTCCAGGCGATGGGGAACGACAGGAGTCCGTGGACCAGGACTTGAGACGCGTAAGCGCTCTCCCTCAATCTGAGCTCGGTCACTCCCTCCAGGAGAGTCTTACGCTCCTCTGTAAAGCTGTCACTGAGACTGGGGAGAGAGACCAGAGGTGTCAGAGAGAGAGACCAGAGAGAGACCAGAGCGAGACCAGAGAGAGACCAGAGAGAGACCAGAGAGAGACCAGAGAGAGACCAGAGCGAGACCAGAGAGAGACCAGAGAGAGAGACCAGAGAGAGACCAGAGAGAGACCAGAGAGAGACTAGAGAGAGACCAGAGAGAGACCAGAGAGAGACCAGAGGTGTCAGAGAGAGAGACCAGAGAGAGACCAGAGAGAGACCAGAGAGAGACTAGAGAGAGACCAGAGAGAGACCAGAGAGAGACCAGAGAGAGACCAGAGAGAGACCAGAGAGAGACCAGAGAGAGACCAGAGAGAGACCAGAGAGAGACCAGAGCGAGACTAGAGAGAGACCAGAGAGAGACCAGAGAGAGACCAGAGAGAGACCAGAGAGAGACCAGAGAGAGACCAGAGAGAGAGACCAGAGAGAGACCAGAGAGAGACTAGAGAGAGACTAGAGAGAGACCAGAGAGAGACTAGAGAGAGAGACCAGAGAGAGACCAGAGAGAGACCAGAGAGAGACTAGAGAGAGACCAGAGAGAGACTAGAGAGAGACCAGAGAGAGACTAGAGAGAGACCAGAGAGAGACTAGAGAGAGACCAGAGAGAGACTAGAGAGCGAGTACTAATCAGGTACAATTTCCCTATAAGCTAAAATTCAGTACATATGATTTATGGTTGTCACGGTTACCGGTGTCACGGTAAACCCCGGGAAAAATTATAACCATAACATTTACTGTCTTAGTTTAAAAAACAAATAATCTCCGTGGATTAAGCGCCCGGAAGATATTCACTAAACTAAAAATATTACAATAAAACCCAAAATCGTGATAGTTTTGTGACGATAATGTTTTACTGTGACACCTCTGATGTAGAGCCCTGCACGGGCCTATTATCTGGGCCCGAGCCCGGCCCTGGCCCGAGGGGGTGGCGCCCCAGCCCGGCCCGGCCCGATATGGTTTCTCAATTTTCAGGCCCGAAACCCGCATCAAGCCCGCCTTTTTTTTTTTTTGTAACCTCCCATAACAATGTTTTAGCGTAGTATATAGTGCCGCGCACTGATATGAACGCAGACTTAGCTAGAGGGCGGAGTTATACATGGTAGTGATGTGTTGCAATGAGTTCTGTGTGTGCGGGGTGCATGGATGTATTATATTAACTGGATAGGGTGTTACTAGCTTGTAGCTGAATAACTCATGTGCTCAGGGGATTCTCGCGATACTGCAGACTAAACCAGACTAAACCAGACTAAATTCACGTGGGCTACACAGAAATTTTCCCCATAGAACTCAATGCATATTAAAACAGCTCAACCTCAGCTGACAGAGAACCTGACAGAGAACCTGACAGAGAACCTACAGCTTTCATAAAGATAGTATTTTGTGGGGATTTTAGTGTCCCTTGTCATCCTGAACTTTTTTTCTTCTTAAATCCTTCGGTTTTGTTTAAATCCACACTTTAGTGCCACAAACTCTGCTCCTCTGGCTCTCGCTCTAACTCCCGCTCTGATGAACTGCTCTGATTGGTCAGAGCGCGGCCGAGCCCCTCTGTGCACGTGCGTGAGACCCACACATGCGTGTTTGGCGCAAAGCATTATGGGAGATCATCCACTGCACAGAACCAGGAGGACCAGACGATGCCCAAATACAGGTGAGTTTCCCATAGATCTTTGAGAGTTTCAGGCAACTTCCGCTAATCTTTCAGCCCCCATGCCGTCACATAGACCACTGAGCACAACCATTCATTTGAATAGGGCGCCATCTTGGATCGCCGGGGCTTGGCGGGGTGGTGCAGAGTGAACGGCCGCATCTGTATGATGCCCAGATGCTGCAACACACCTGTAAGTAACTCTATGTGCCGTCAATGACAACACTACACAGAACAACAAACACTACTGCGTGATAGAACGCTATATTCAGTGGGTGCGTTCGTAAATCTATTCTGCCGCTCTGAAAATGAAGAGCCCGAGCCCGGCCCGTGTCCGAGGTCATTATGCGGTCATCGGCCCGAAGCCCGGCCCTCGGGCTGTCGGGCCGTCGGGGCCCTCGGGCCAAGGGCTCAAGTGCAGGGCTCTACTCTGATGGTCTCTGGACTCACACGATGGTTTTCCAGTCGGGAATCTTCGGTCCGATGCTGAACCGTTTGCTCTCTCCTTTCTCTCCGACAAAGTAGACCCCCGCCACTGACGACACCTTGTTCCCCGGGAACTGGACCAGAACGTTCTGGTCTGGGTTCTGGGCGGCCCAGTCTGAGGCCTGGCCCGCGATCAGGACCCCTCCCCCGCCCTTCAGGAACGCCACGATCTCCTCCGCACTTCCTTCCACACTGGTCGCGTCCGTCACAAACACCCTGATGCCCTGGTAGCTGCTGAACCGCTCCAGGACTTTGAACTGGAACTTGGTCTTGAAGGTCTGGTCTTTGAGGTCTTTGAGGCTCTGCTGGACTCCGACCTCCAGGTTCTGTGAGTCGCCCCGGAGCCAGTCCAGGGCCTTCTCCATGAGCTCAGGCACAGAGCGGACGTAGGAGCCGTGGCTGAGGGCGAGCAGTCTGCCCGAGCCGTACCCAGACGCCGCCACCTGGACCTGGCCCTGGCTGTTGGTGACCAGGGGGAAGGCATGGGCCCCGCTCAGGAGGAACACGCCAGGGACTGAGGGGGCTTCCAGATTCAGCTCCGTGAGGCCAGAGGTCAGAGCGGAGTAGGACTGTTGTAGAGACGACGCCATCGTGAAGAAAGGAGAGTGAGTCCTGGAGAGAGGAGAGAGCGTTCAGCAGAGAGTACATCATGTTAAAGACCAGAGAGAGAGACCAGAGAGAGAGAGACCAGGGGGAGAGACCAGAGAGAGAGACCAGAGAGAGACCAGAGAGAGACCAGAGAGAGACCAGAGAGAGACCAGAGAGAGACTAGAGAGAGACTAGAGAGAGACCAGAGAGAGCAAGACCGGAGAGAGAGAGAGACCAGGGGGAGAGACCAGAGAGAGACCAAAGAGAGACCAGAGAGAGAGACCAGAGAGAGAGCAAAGAGAGACCAGAGAGAAACCAGAGAGAGACCAGAGAGAGACCAGAGAGAGACCAAGGACAGAGAGAGCCCAGAGAGAGACCAATGAGAGCAAGACCTGAGAGAGACTAGAGAGAGAGACCAGGGAGAGAGACCAGAGAGAGAGACCAGAGAGAGAGACCAGAGAAGCCTGGGAAATGCACATTTTGGATAGCAGCCACATGTTTGTAGCGACCCACAGTGTCTGCTATAATTAATATTCTTTAATTCTACATAAATGTGTGGGTCTCCATATGTACAGTAAGTCATGAGACGGAGAGGACGACTGTAAGACGATAGAGACCCTCGTCTGCATCTCGGCAGCATCTGTGTCGTGGGGTGTCCCGGGACTCTCCTGACCTCTACACGGGCTCACGCTTTGTATGTACTTGGTCATTCTTACCGTCCTCATTCTCGGAGCTGACCCAGGCTGAAAGCACTAAGCCTGAATTGGACTTAATGTGTTCTGATTATGCCATTAGACTCTTTCTTTAACACATAACTCAGACTGCGTTCCTTCTCCAACACTACACTGGTTTGTGCGAGGAACCCCATCTTCTGCTGAAGAGAAGATACAACAATTATAAAACCTGAGTTCCCGGAGCTCACCTGGTTTCTCTGATGAACCTGGTCTGATGTTTCTCTGATGAACCTGGTCTGATGTTTCTCTGATGAACCTGGTCTGATGTTTCTCTGATGAACCTGGTCTGATGTTTCTCTGATGAACCTGGTCTGATGTTTCTCTGATGAACCTGGTCTGATGTTTCTCTGATGAACCTGGTCTGATGTTTCTCTGATGAACCTGGTCTGATGTTTCTCTGATGAACCTGGTCTGATGTTTCTCTGATGAACCTGGTCTGATGTTTCCCTGATGAACCTGGTCTGCTGCTCCTCCACAGCGGGTCACACCTCTCTCTCTCTCTCTCTCTCTCTCTTTATAAGCTTCATGGTGTGTCCATATAAGGCACATCTGCCGCAGGTGAAACCATCAAACCTCCTGCTGCAGCTTGTTCCAACTGTCACTCGTACCGAAACCAACCCCTGAACCAGGAGCTATCACTCACCAGAGAGACCAGAGAGAGACTAGAGAGAGACCAGAGAGAGAGACCAGAGAGAGACCAGAGAGAGACTAGAGAGAGAACAGAGAAAGACCAGAGAGAGACCAGAGAGGGACCAGAGAGAGACCAGAGAGAGACCAGAGAGAGAGACCAGAGAGAGACCAGAGAGAGACTAGAGAGAGGCCAGAGAGGCCAGAGAGAGAACAGAGAGAGACCAGAGAGAGACCAGAGAGAGACTAGAGAGAGGCCAGAGAGGCCAGAGAGAGACCCGAGAGAGAGACCCGAGAGAGAGACCCGAGAGAGAGACCAGAGAGAGACCCGAGAGAGAGACCAGAGAGAGACCAGAGAGAGACCAGAGAGAGAGCAGAGAGAGAGACCAGAGAGAGACCAGAGAGAGAGACCAGAGAGAGAGACCAGAGAGAGACCAGAGAGAGACCAGAGAGAGAGACCAGAGAGAGACCAGAGAGAGACCAGAGAGAGACCAGAGAGAGAGACCAGAGAGAGAGACCAGAGAGAGACCCGAGAGAGAGACCCGAGAGAGAGACCCGAGAGAGAGACCAGAGAGAGACCCGAGAGAGAGACCAGAGAGAGACCAGAGAGAGACCAGAGAGAGAGCAGAGAGAGAGACCAGAGAGAGACCAGAGAGAGACCAGAGAGAGAGACCAGAGAGAGACCAGAGAGAGAGACCAGAGAGAGAGACCAGAGAGAGACCAGAGAGAGAGGGACCAGAGAGAGACCAGAGAGAGACCAGAGAGAGACCAGAGAGAGAGAGACCAGAGAGAGACCAGAGAGAGAGACCAGAGAGAGAGCAGAGAGAGAGACCAGAGAGAGACCAGAGAGAGAGACCAGAGAGAGAGACCAGAGAGAGAGACCAGAGAGAGAGACCAGAGAGAGACCAGAGAGAGACCAGAGAGAGACCAGAGAGAGAGACCAGAGAGCGAGCAGAGAGAGACCAGAGAGAGACCAGAGAGAGACCAGAGAGAGAGACCAGAGAGAGAGACCAGAGAGAGACCAGAGAGAGACCAGAGAAATATTATAGACAAATATACGTACAAGGTGCAGACCATCACCGCGTAGATCCCATGTGACCACAT